ATCATCGGTGGTGTGAATGTCCGGCCGAATGCCGCTATCGGTTCCCAAACCGCACGCGAATTGTTCGCCGCAGTCCTCGCCAGCGGTGACCACGACGTCGATGGCGTCCACCAAACAGATGCCGAAGAAGAAGATCTTCTCCGGGAATAAGCAGAACAGAGCCGTCTTTAATATGAAGAACTTCTGGAGCGATGGCAACGCGTCCAAGAAGTCCACTCTCATGTCCAATAAGACCAAGAACTCCATCTTCGACGTGCAGTACGTGTGGCGCCCGAAGACTGTCACCAGCGATGGTAAGGCGCCGGCACTCGTGTCCACACAGACGCTGACAACGATCACCACAACTACGACGACTACACAGTCGTCGGTGACGTATTTGACGGCAACGCCCGCGACAGCGCCGGTGGCTGTGGTGACAAAGACTGTGAGGGCGACCACCGCTTCCTCGAAAGCTAACAAATCTCACGCCAACTCATTGGCCGCTAACAGCGCCCCGAAAACAGCGCCGCCGGCTGTCCAGCACTCGACTCAGACGACGTACGCGACGCGACGTATGACCGCCCGGTCGGCCCAGTCGTCGACCACCACTGCCTCCCAACCCATGGAGCAGTCGGTGCGCACGACCACCATATCGTCGGTCGAGACGTCGCGATCGCAACCGACAGACAATCAGCTGTTATTACCGACAGATAGTAACGATAGTGACAGTCGTGCGGACAGTCCTATGGAGGACGTGGAGTCCGTGGTATCCGACGAGTGCTCCGAGAAGTCGTCGGTGTGTTCGCCGCCGCCGTCGACGACACCATTAGCTGATCCAGTGGTCGACGCGACCCAAAGGACTAGTGTTGATATCACCGCCACGTCAGCGTCCACTCCATCGCCGGCCGCCTGTTCTACGGACTCGTCACCGACGCCCACCTCAGCCACAATCACCACCACTTCCTCCACATCCACGGCCACCACAACGACAACGACAAGCCATGTGTCGACTAAACCGAAGCGTAAGATCTTCTCGTCGAAGAATAGGGAGCAGAAGAACAGAGCCGTCTTCAGCGCTAAGAACTTCTGGACGTCTGAGAAGACAGAGTTTGACGACGAGTTCGGCGCTGAGGGAGCGACAGGTGGGGAGCCGTCGGCCACCACGTCATCGGCGGTAAACCCGGCGAACAATAATAAGAATAAATTGGTGGACGACTTCGACAACGACGAGGAGTATGTGGTTCTGCATCGCGTCAAGAAAGCCCATCAGTGCCACGATTTGGGCGAAACGGAACAGTTTGACGACGACATCAAATACCACTTGAGTGGCATCGATGTGTCCAACACGTCCGCCATGCGATGTCTTAGGTAGGTGTCAGTTGATCCAGTGGTGTACGGATTCACCGATCGCTGGATTGGTTTGAGTGGTTGTTAACTAACCAATTGATCCGTTGGTGATAATTCTATTGATTCTAATAGTTTTGTTTGTCTTGTTTTTTTGGGGAACAGTATCATAGGTCTGACGCAACAGGCGATGCGCCCGGAGTTTCGGATGCATTTGCGAGCGCACGACGATATGCCGCGAATCATCAGTGCCTTAATGGACGCCCCGTCGGACGCCAACCTCGCCCTCTGCACGGCGTGTCTCATGTTTGTGTACAGTCAGGACCGGCTCACGATGGACATCGACCCCAACGCCCTGTCCCTTATGCTGCAGCTCCTGGAGACCCGTAGCGACGAGTGCAACGGCGTCGACACCAAAAACAAGAATAAAGTGAAGGACTTATGCGAGCAGATGAAGAAGAAGGGCATACATGTGGCCAAGTATTTGAAGTTATCTGAGATTACGGTAAGTGGATAGGGAGTGTGGGGTTTGGCGTTTGGTTGTTAACTGTGTTTTTGATGGATAGGCCGGAAATCTGGCGATGGAGACCCTCCTGGGACTGACCTCTAAGAGGGCCGGCGACTGGTTTAAGGAAGAGTTGAGACGTATTAAGGGAATCGACTTTATCTTGGATACAGTGCTCCGGTGCTCGCAGTTCAACGATGACGAGGGCTTTATGGTTAAAATCGATCGGTGTATGCATGTGCTCGAGAATGTATGTCCACTTAGCGAGGCATTGGGATCATGTGGTTATATGTGTTCTTTGTTTGATGCTTAGGTAACGCTGAATAACATTGAAAATCAAGAATATCTACTGAAGTACAAAGAGGGTCAGCTGATGGGCACATGTATCCAATTATTGCATTCGTGTAAATACCGTATATTATTGTCAAACGATTCCAAAGTGTTTTTGTCGGCGTTTTTCTCCATTTTACGCGTTTTAACTCATCTCACGTCTGAAAGTGGTATTAAAACTCATGAGTTTAATTGATATCTGAATTGTTACTAAACCTGTGTTCGTGTTTAGCCGACGGTTGTTCCACAATTGGTTCGCACGACGGGATCATAGACTTACTGCTGGAGTCGATTGTGGAGTTGCCGTCATTTATAATGTCGGACCAGCGCTTCGACCTAATGGTCATACTTCTGTGCCTTTGCATCAATTTAGTCGAGTTTTGTCCACAAATGCGAGACTTAGTCGTCGGCAGCGATTCAAAGCTCAAGGATTTAATTGAATTGCTATTCAAACGCATAGAGGAGGCGCAGCGCACGGAACAGCAGACCGATGAGCTCCTGGAGTCGCACGAAAAGGTTCAGATGACCGAAGCCATGAGGGACTCCCTGTTGCACACGAGTACGTGCTTTTGACGGCGCCGGCTGTCTTGATTTGGTTTTCTAATTGTATTGATTGGTGTTTTTCAGTGCTGTCCCAATCGGGCAATCATATGGAGCACAGCATAATCGCCGCCTGTATAGCGCTACTGTTGGGCTGTACTATTCAGGATAACATGAGGTATACCAATATCGTGAGGTCTAACCTACCGAACCTGTCGTTCGACCCGTTGGTGGAAGTGTTGCAAAAGCTCCGGGACTTTGCCTACTTAGCCGTGAGTGTTGTGCTTTGATATGCAATTGAATTGTGATTTTGGTGTTAATTGTGTCTTAATTATGTGTTTTTGTGTTCAATATATAGGACATAATGACCAAAAAAGGCAAAGAGAGAGTCGACCGAATCATTCAAGTGTTCAAATCGTCTTAACATTGATAGACATCTCTATTATAAATGAGATTTTTCATGATTAGCGTCAAAACAATGAATACAAATGTGTTTTTTAAAAATTGCAAACTAAATGATTATTATATTTACCGGAGACATAATTTATTTTATATTTTTATTTCATTGGCGTCGAGAATCGTAAATATAATTTTGGATTCATTTCAGAAGTTATGTATAAATTTGTGCACAATTTTTTTCTCTATGATTATTATATTTACCGGAGACATAATTTATTTTATATTTTTATTTCATTGGCGTCGAGAATCGTAAATATAATTTTGGATTCATTTCAGAAGTTATGTATAAATTTGTGCACAATTTTTTTCTCTATCACTTAACGTCTGTCTCTCTGTGAACATGACTTTTACGACTGTAAAAACATTTGATTCATTTTGTTCAGACAAATCGCTACCGATTTTAGCTTTAATTTTGTTGAATTTATTTTTAAAAACTGAATTTAATGTACAATATTTACTAAATTCGCGGACAAAATGATATGACAAGTATTTTCCATCAGTTTTTATCGTTTTACTACTAATTCATTATTCACTTGCGAATGAATTTTTTCAAATAAAAGTTTATTTAAAAAAACTTTTTGTTACTTTTTTTGTGGATTTCGAGTGGAAAGTTGTGTTTTTTGTGTGTGGAGGGAATGGGAGGCAACGAGAGGTCAGTTTCCTGTCTCTATTATTAATGAAATTGTTTTTATGAAATAAAAAGTTTTTTTGACAATAAATATGGGATTTCTTGTGAATAGTTTGCGATTCAATGGTAGAGTTGAGTGAATGACAGGCAATGAATGGAAGTTTGAAAATCAATTGCAAACATGTATTGAAAAGGTTTTCAAACAGACAGTGAATTCACTGAATACTGACAGTGCATAACAAGAGCACAGGGTTTGGACACCAAATGTCAAAAACCTTTCACACCGTATGGCTTAAGCCGTAACAGTGTTTGCGAGAGAGAGAGAGAGAGAGAGAGCGCAGGGATGACTCACTCGCGCACACATAACCTATAAATCCCTGTCTATAATGTTATCTAAAAAATTAGTCTAAACTTTTGTGTTCATTATATAAGTGGTACATAATTAGCACATAGTTGTACGCAAATTTAAAACTAGATTTGTATGTATGTTAATCCTCGTGTACACTATTAATCAGTAGCCATCCTAAACGGGTTAGCTATAAGTGGGTTTTCCAGTGGGTTATAAGGGGGGACGTGTGGGGGGGACACAGTGTATGACTATATTTGTTATGGTTTTGTAAACACACAGCGAAAGCATAACTCGACTTTTGAAATGTATTTACAGTTTTGAGTGAAATATATCTCGCAATGAATTTGCAAATCATATCGCATTCGCTGATTATGTCATATGTTTGGCACGTTTTGTGCTGATCGCTTCGAAAGCATAACTCGACTTTTGAAATGTATTTACAGTTTTGAGTGAAATATATCTCGCAATGAATTTGCAAATCATATCGCATTCGCTGATTATGTCATATGTTTGGCACGTTTTGTGCTGATCGCTAACACCCGGGTAGTGATTGTCACCAGAGATTAGATCCCAGAATTGGCCGCAGACATCACACACACAGCGATCGACACATATTAGCCAAAAGTAAGTGCTTTTTCACAATCAGTTCAGTCAGTCATCGCTTGTTTTTGTCTATCAATTGCTTTTTCGCCACTAATTGTATAAAAAGTTTTGTTTTTTAGTTTTCATTTTTATTTTGTTGTTTCAGTTTTGGTTTGGTTTTTATGAATGCCTTATGTTTTGTGTTAACCATAAGTTGCGGTCGTGTATAGCCGTCCCATACCATCACCCGTAAACTGATCCCTACCATTGAATCCCATTTGACTCACATATGATACTTGTGTCCACTTCGCGGCCGATCACCAGTTGGTCTCATACTCGACACACTATTCTCCTACATCTCGGCCCCACTAGTCGTCTACTCTGTCTACCGGTGCTATCGATCGATGACAGCGACGCCGCATATGTCCGCTCTGGAGGCCAACACCACTGGTCCCACACCTCCGCCACCCCCACTCCACACCAATGAGTCCGACGACAGCACCACACCTACACCTCCACCACCAGCGCCTCCTTTGCCGGGCTTAACAGTAGCTCCGCATCCGACGCCACCACCTCCTCCGCCACTAATGCCTCCCTCAACGCCTATACCTCCGCCTCCACCACCCCCTCCTATGATGGGTATACCTCCGCCGCCTCCACCACCACCTCCTATGCCCGGTATGACAGCCATACCTCCACCACCGCCGCCCCCACCACCCGGAATGATGGGTGGTATACCTCCACCGCCACCCATGCCTGGTATGATGGGTGGACCTCCACCGCCTCCCCCTCTACCCGGTATGGGTCCACCACCCCCTCCTCCCATTCCCGGCGCACCGCTGCCCCCATCTTTGACGGGCCCCCTGCCAATGCCAGCCCCTCCAGAGGGCGGTTGGAACGCCGTCTACGCCCAGGCCCGCAAACAGCCGGTGAACCCGAGCGCACCCATGAGACCACTGTTCTGGAGTCGCATTCAGATACCGGTGACGACGCCTCAGCCGGTGGTCACTCCACTCACGAGTCCCGAAGATCCGGACAGTAATGCCGATTCGGATGACAGTCAGAGCCAAAAGCCTCAGCACTTGTGGGAGAATATCGATGAGTCCACGGATTGGATAAACGATGAATTCGTTGAACTTTTCTCACGACAAGTGATCCAAAAGAAAGTGAAGTCCAAAGAGGAGGAGAAGCCCAAGAAGAAGATCAAAGAGGCGGCGAATATCATTGATTCCAAGAGAGCCCATAACGTGGGGATACTTATCAAGAGTTTGCGGCTGAATATGGATGACATCGAGAACTCGGTCTACAATTTCGACAACTCTGTGGTCGACAACGAAATGTTGGAACGGATTTTCGAGGTGATGGCCACCAAAGAGGAACTGGAGATGATTCTAAAGCACGTGCAGAACAATCCGGACATTCCTCTGGCAAAGGCCGAAGAGTTTTTGTATAATTTGTCGCAAATTCATGAGTTCGCAGATAGAGTTCAGGCGATTGTCTATGAGATTAAATTCAGCGACCATTTGGTGACAATAGAGAGTCGTTTGAATAACTTTAAGATATTGTGTCAGTCGTTGACCACAATGTCTGCCA